GCCAACCATATGTGTGTACAGTGTACAATAGTTGAGTAGGTAAATTTACTTATGTATTTGTATGGGTTTGAAATGTTTTATTGATTTTCAATCTTTTCTTTAAAAAATTGTATGATTATTTATATTTTACTTTTATTATAAATGCGAAAGTTTGTGACTTTGTTACTCTTTCACGTGAAAACTTCTGGACCGATCTTGATGAAATTTTTACACTATGTGTATTTTGATCCAACTTAAGACATAGGCTAATTTAAAAAGGGAGAGGACCAACTCCGGGAGGTGCTCAAACTGAAATTTTGAAATTCAAAAGATCAAATATATTGACATTTCGATAGAATAATTTTAGGCAATTTGATTGTCCCGTCGGCTGTTTCATGTTTGTAGGATATTTGGCCGATTGTTCGTATAATATCATCATACATAATGCATATAAATATATAATATATTATAGCAATTATTATAATATTATTAATGGACAATAATTATATACCGCACCTGCACTGCAATTAGGGTCATTATTGATTAACATGATTAGTATTGGTTACCTATTGGCTATTTCCTACTGCAGGTGCATGATGGTCCATAACTACCGTAACTCATTCATTATATAGAAAGTGTTCTTGGAAACAGCTGTTGTGACAATTTTATTTATTATGCACAATTAAATTTAAATATGAAATCGATGAGATAATAGAATTTTTATTAATATTTTTAAATTTAAGGATAGGTATATACGATGAGTGATAAGACTTCTTTTGTTATATCGTATTATTGTATAGGTAAACACATGGGTACCTACTTAGTTAACTATTGTATAAGCTTCATCTGCTGGCTCATTCGGTTAACATCTAACTGCATAATATTATATGTATAGGTATGAAACATTCTCTGATTATAGCCGGTTCGCGCATTAAGTTAACTCATTTCAAAACGAATATAATAGGTTAGATTTATATGATTCACGTGTGCCGTATTCCGCCAAAGTAATAGAAAATAGTAGATTTGACTAAGACTCGAGTTTGTGGGATTAAACGGTCCCTCTATACAGTTATACAGTACTTATATATATTATGTATACCACGTATTGCATACCATCTTTATAATATATCGACAATAAATTACTATTGTACATTTGTATTTTGTAAGCCATTATTCGTCAATTGCTGTGACCAACATCATGTAATTTATGTATACGAATACATTCGACAACGGTAATAAACGTTTTACAGTCATCATTGTCTTCAGTCAGAAAGAGAAATATCAAATATGTGCAGATAGGCACTACACTCAGTATACATGCGTCCTGCAGACAATGACCGCAGTTAGAAAACACATTAGTGTTTGCCGTTTGAGTATTTTGAGTACAATATTTACACGAATACATTTAACGACGAATATTGCCTTTGTGCTGTGTGTACTTATGTTCGACGTTTATACCCCATATATTATATATGTATATTGTATATTCTGAAATACGTCTGTGTACACGTGAACGGCATTAGGTACGGACTAACACCCTCCAATATATTTTGTGAATTAGCTTTCAAATCACCTTTCAGTTAAACAATTTATTTTTAGTTTTCCTTTCTAACTAGTAAACATTTATTAGCATTATTTGTAAGTTTATCTCCATTCCTAAGACTAAAAAAAAGAGCTAATTCAGCATAGTTAATATATTATTATTATCCATTAGATGTGATATTTTATTTCTTAAAGCTTGTACCCACGAGTGACTTAAAATCTCCTAAAAATCAAATTCCAAGTTTGCGTTTTGCATATATGATTATGAACCGTTTAACATTCATATTATTAATATGCGTGGACGATCGCACGTGTAGACGAACAAATCGTCAACAAACGTTTTTTAGTGAAAATTAAAATACATACCTAGGTAACTCATAATTGTCCCGACATCTCGGAAGTAAACTATACTGCGAATATTGCATGGTGTAACACCGTTTGTGTTGCCTATAATAAATATAATGTGTACAATTATGAATTACTATACTAAATATTTTATATCAATATATTATTATTTGTGGTGCATCAGGGCAAAAAGATAATGCGTCAACTACCTATGACTATATTGCAGTATTTACTTGACTATGCAACAGTATAATAGTATTACACATATATATTTAGTATTTAGTATTTACTTATAGAGGTATTTATGCGTGAACATGTCAATCAGTATATCATTTTTGTGTCACGATTTTTTTCCAGTCGTACGCGCTGTGCGTATTATACAAGTCGTTTACGTTGAATGTAATAATAATATTACATACGATTCCATCGTATACTTACTTCTATATTAATTTTAAACTCTAATTGCCGTCACGTACAACAATCCTGTAAAATGATTATGGTTTTTTTTCACGATATTCTTGACGCTCGATGTTTAAATACCCGTGTGTTTTCGCTTGTATAAATATCTAATAAAATGATATTAGACTTCATCTGAGATTGGTCCATCTCATAGATATAGTAGTATAGTACCTATACAGCGAATATCTGGTTTGAATATAATAATAATATGTTATAGCTATGTACAATGTTTCATAAAATATTCTAGCAACCTCAATCGGTCAATCGTCGATGAGACTACTATCGTACATTCGGACATTCCTATACTAATATTTTTCAAATTTCATTACGACGATCCATCAAAAATATGGCAATATACCTAACTACATTTAAAAGTTTTGAAAATATTGACATGATTAAGATAAATAATACGTTTTTGGGAAAATTATGTGTAAAACATTTGTAATGACGCTATTACAATTGTTTCAGTATTCACAGTACACGAGCGTAAAATATATATTATAATAGCGACGACCTACATGAAATGTAAATCAACATTAAGTGTACCTACAATATCATGTTATACCATTAATTTGTGTTTAAAATGTATTTACAATGTAATTAATTCACAAATAACTAATAATATGAACTCTAAAAATTATTTTAACATTTAGATATCTAACCATTATAGTACCTATTGGCTATTTGTCCTATTAAACTAATATACAATTGATTTGATTTGTGTACTGTGTACAATGAACATATTGAATCTTGTGAGTTTAAAAATGGATAAAATATATTTACATTTAATCTTTAATTAACGTTCGATAAAAATGATTAAATGTTAAAATAATATAAAAAATTGTTATTGATAAAATTCAATTAAAATGGCATACAATTATTCAACTACACCAACAAAGTGATTAATCTAATAGTGGAGTATACAGTAAAATCTAATAGTACAAATTGATAATATTGTTTCAGTAATTAAATTATGAATTACTGAATATGAAATTTGCATACACAATATTGTTTTTCAATAATAATTTAATTATTTCATGTTTAACTGTAGATTATTGCAACAGTTATTTAACATAATTAATTCGAATGTTTATTAAATGTCGACAGATATGCCTACATGCGAAAGTATTCAAACTATATGCACTCGAAATAGTTTATTATTATTACATATGAAAATTCAATAGGTATTTATATTTTTAAATTAAGTACCTATAATATAATTTTCAAAATCGCTTGAATTTGCTATCTTTGAACTTTTAATGTGGTAGTTCGGAATTTTGACGATTATATGATACTATATTGATAACAAGTATAACAACATGCGGTGGACAATAAATCTATTTAAAATCGAACTAGTGCCATCGTAATATACTCCATGCGACTATGCGAGTTTATTAACAATGCATCGATAGGAAATATCAAAAATATCTTAGGCGAATTGAAAAATGATTTATGAGTGAAACGAATAAACGATCAAACTATTAACATTATTCGTTTTCTATCAAGTAATTTATTTTTCATTTTTTGTGCCCAATAGCCACGACGGCTGGTTATGATCCAAGACTTGAGAATCATCCGAAAATATAAAACATAAAATTTAATAAAAGCGTAATTGCGTCGAGTTATTTGCCAACCGCCAGCCGCGTATGCCTACTTATGTGAAATCAATGTTTAGAGTGATTAATTGAAAAAAAATTCGTATCTATTGCATTTGCAATGTGTTTTCGACAATTGAGAGCGCTCATTTAATCGACCAATTTTCTGTGTAAAAGTAATGGAAAACGTACATGCATAGGAGTATTTATCGTCATTCGTCAGTGTAAAATAATAATAATAATATAATATACTTTAGGTAGTGTATGCTGCTGTTGTTATTTTATCAGTTATCACACACGCATTCCACCCAAAAACTCGATTATATTTTTTATTTGTATAAGTAGTAAGTAACAGTAAGTTCCAACATCTTCTTCTGTCTACTTGTCACAGAGGGAAAACCAAGTAAGTACCTAGTACCCACTACCTATCTACGTATATAACATTATAACAATATGTAGATAAGATGATATTGTTATTTTATCTTTCGTAAATAAAATGTTCAATTTTAGTGGCCAGGAGTCGCAATACACTAATACCTAATAGCATATTATTGTTATCATTATCACACACGGAGCGCTGCAACAGGTAAAGACGTAAATATTCACTAAAATCCTCGACCGACGGGCTAGCGCACGACAGCAGCGATGACATTTCGCGTTGCAGCGACGTGACGAGATGGAACGAGGAACCCGTGACGGCAGAAGAGACTCGCGCGCGCCGACTATACGGGTTCTCGTTTTTGTTGGTGGGGAGGTGAGAGCGTCGCCGTCGCCCGTCGGTCGTCGGATGGAAAGCACCGGTAGTACGCGGCCAGTGTCGTTTCGTCGTTGTCCGTGTTCGTTTGTGCCGCCGTCGTTTAGTTCGCGTACGCAACACCCGCGTAAATACATACACAGCCGACGTGCGTTGTCCGCGAAATTTATTCAATTAGTTGCAAACAAAAAACAACACGCGATTGCGTCCGTCCTTGTTGCATAGTATTATGAACGTTTTGTCGCCGTCAGTCGTCGTCTGACGGAACACTCGGCGCGCGTAGACCAAAACCTATTAACGTCGTTGTCGTTGTCGCCCGTACGAAAATGACACGCGGACGTCCGCGAGACGACGTCTCCGCAACAACGGTGTCGTTGTTGCTACTGCTGTCGGCGGCCGCGGTGTCACCCGCCGACAACGTGACCGTATTTCGGTGCTGTGGTCGCGGCGAGATGCTCGATCCGACCGACGTGCACGGGCCGTGCGCCCTGTTGCCGGCGTCCTTGCCGCAAGACTTCGTGCCCGTCATCTTCGACGTGAACAGCAACCAGTTCTTGAACCCCAACGAGCCTCCACCGGCTTACTGGAACCTGGTCCACGAACGTCCGCCGTGCCGGCCCGCCGCGTTTTTGCCCGCCTCGACACCCCAAGACCCGCCCCGGTTCGTGTCATTCCTCAACGGTACGCTGCTGGCGCAACATTGGCCAAAGAACTTGATGGTGGACCCGGGCCTGTTCTGTCTGGATCGAGCGGGCGCGCTGTTGTGCCTGCCCGACGAGCCGAACAAGACGAAAAAGTGCTGCGGCCCATCAGCGGTATACAGCGAAGCGAACGGGGGATGCGAGTTCTCGGGCCGGCACGACGCGGCTGATCTGCCCGAAGACATCACGTCCGGGTTCCCGCGATGTGAGGATGATGTGTACATCTTGTCCGGCCGCATCAACGAGTCGCATTGGCCCGTCAACGGCGCGTGGCCCGCGGGAGGACAGCTGCGTACGGCTGACGGCGTCACACTCCAGCCCCGGGAATACTGTCTGGAGCGCGTGCTCGAACAGACGCAGGAGCCTCGCACGTGGACCGTGTTCACGTGTGCTCCCCGGCACGGCGTCGACCACGTGACCAAGAGCTACCGCGAGGATATCCGCTTCACCCTTTACCCGCTTGGACTGTTGCTGTCCGTGTTCTTCTTGGCCATCACCCTGGTGGCCAGCTACATGCTGCCCAGCACTTATCACGTGCTCCATTGGAGGTGTCAAGTCAATCATGTCGGCTGCTTACTAGTCGGTGACCTGTTCCTGGCAATCGTCCAACTGTCCGGTGACTCTTTGCAAGGATCGCTGTGCGTCTTCACAGGTACGATCGTAAAAAAATTTTGTTGCTTATCATCGATTATCATATATTGTCATATACCTATATATTTTAAAATACTTTCTCCCGGAAGGCCGAAACGAAATTTTGGTTTTTTCTTTTGTAATTCCGCACACGTACTCGACTTCGGTTTCTAAATAATATTATACAATGAACAATACGCATAATAATATGACATACTGCATTACTGCTTTGTCGACCGATTGTATTATTACCAATAATTAGTATACTAAACTGTACATTTAGACCGAAAGCCTCGTCGGAATCTATTCGGCACTGCTTGGGTATAGGGTATACCTAGGCTAGCTATGTGTGGTTTATTACAAACACCATAATGACGATTAACAGCATGGGTTCGTTGATAACAATGTTGATATCTTTTAACTCGGCGGCATAATCAGCTATAATAGCATAATTAATATGCATAAAATATGCATGCGATACTTAATGTCTATTAAGTATTATTCTCGGTATTATTACTTATTACCTGTCCGGTAAGTGTCCAACACCCCACTCGCAGCGGATAACAATGACCCAGGACTCAAAAAATAAACCTACGCCGCATTATTTATTGGCGTCTTGTCGGCGATTTTTCTCTCTTTTTTGTCTATCCGCCGCCACTGCACATAAATAAAATATAACACGAAGTACGCTCGTTATCAGCTGTGGCCGTTAATTACATATTATTATTATTATTAATTTCTGTTATTAGTACTCTGGTCCCCGCGATCGTTTCGTTTCGATTGTTCATATTATTATAAACGACTACGTATTCTTTTTGAAAAACAAAAAACAATTACTTTTTTTCCGTTAAGGTTTCGGGATCGGTCACGGCGGACGATTCTGGCGACGACAGTTTTCGGGTATAATATAATTGCATTGTATATTTATATTTTATAATACAGTGAAGTGATGTTGTGCGTCGCCTTCGGGACCCTCTCGTATTATTATTATTATTATTATTATTAATATAGTGTAGGTACGTCGTCGAGGCGAGTCGACGAAATTAGGGGAACCGCGAGTGGCGCGGGAAAAATAAAATGAAAAGAAGAGAAAAAAAAAAATCGTTTCCCGTTACTGTGCCGTGTGCGATGGTTGGCTATTGTGTACACGTACGACGAGACCGCTCTTTTTGCGTGTGACGATAGTGCGTGCGTGTGTGCGTGTGTGCAGTTGTACGTCTCGTATATTATTATTATTATGTGATCATAGACAGGTATATATGAACATGCCGTCGCGTATGGCACTGGTCGTGTCATAGTCGCTTGCATCGGGTCCAGTCACACTGGCGCGGCTCCGTCGTATTTTTGCCGATAGTTTCTGTTTTACGCCGCCGTCGTTGTTTCATGCATTTTGTCACAAACAATATTACATGTTATGATAATGTTATTGTACGTTTCGAATGCGGATTGTTTACGAAATGAAAACAACGTTGTTTTGAAAGAAACGTCACCCCGCGTACCAAGTCGTAGACCGTAGTATTATAGACGTACAACATAATTATTATATACCGAGGAAACTAAATAATTATTAGACATTTGTTTACACATTGATATGTAAAATGACGACTAGGCTACCGCGTCGCTCATTGGGTTAGGTTATGAAACGTAACCCTAACCTAACCTAACCTAACCTAAATTACCTAAAAGGAGCCATATCCTTGATAACTGATAAGACGGTGGGTTTCTCGAGTTAAAAATGGGCAAGTCTCGTCGGTCGACCGTCAATTCCCACGTAGGAAGTTTGAAGTCTAGGTGTGAATTTTTCTTCATGTTTCGACCGACGTTGTAACGGCATACCCGTCATTTCACGCGTGTACAAACCACAGCGAACTTGCTCCACTTTTGCGCCGAGAGGAATAAAGTATACTTTGTCGTTACTCGCCTTTTGCGCACACATAACATATTACAATAATATATTATATACAATTATATGTGTATAGTACCTACGTATTTACTTAAGTATTGTACACAATTTGACGAAACACGAGTGCGTTATTTATGTATATTTCGTATACGTCCGAAGCCCCGCAAAACTCGGTATTATAATATTATGTAGAAACAGCAAAAGAGAGTAGAAAAGATATAATAAAACACCGGATGAAATTTCAGAGCTCCGTTAGTTATTTGGTTACGGGAAGACGAAACGGAAAATTGCGATGAATTTAATACCGTGTGACGACTGACGAGTCGCGTTATACGTAGGCGGTATACCAATTTCTATAAAAAAAAAATAAAATAAACTGCAGACTACGACGTTCAAGTATGAGTACAAAAGGGTTATATTTTTTTTTTTGAATTTTCTGTTGTTCCGGCTGAATTAAACCCGTTGTATATTATACTCCTTGGCCCTCGTTCTGTATAGTATTAAACAGTTCATTAGGCTCATACAGTCATACATATAGATGGTACACATTGGACAAGATCCAAGGGCTCTGCTTTTCGTCCGACACGCATATATTTATATACATATCAATGCGTGGTTGTGTGGCCGACGATACCGTAATTTATATAATTATACATAAAGCCCATACAGGGTATCTATACAGTCTATTGTCTATTTTGGATACGCCGTGTTTAGAGTTCATCCCCGCGGACATTTCGAAAATTATAACTTTTACCATATTCGATGTTTTCAGGGATATTTTTATATTTTGGATAACCATAACAGTTATCCATCGATTATCACTATGTTAAAACGCTTAGAATTTTCTACATTTTTCACAACCTGAACATAAAAGTTGTTTTCGTGTTTTTTTCCCTAAAAAATATATGAGATTTACAGAACTAATTATCAAGGTAAATGTTTTAAAAATGTTCATTAAATGTATTAGTATAGTAAAATTACGTGAACCTTGTTTCAAAGGTTCGGCTGAATTTGTATCTATATAGATCTGGTTCTAAGTGTATAATAATATATATATAACATTGAAGGCGGGATAGTTTACGGTGAGGCACATCCTGTATAACGATGTATACACAGTACACACATTATAAATATATTAATTGTCGGACACGACAGTTTGTATACAGACCATTGACGGGCACACACACCCTGAGATGTATATTGCGGTATGTGTGTAAATATATAAAATAATATTATAGTCTCGTGTCTTATAGTTATGTGTGTTATGGTGATACTAGCTTAAGGCCAGAATCCGTTCATTAACAACCCAGCACGCCGACGTTGCGATTGTTGTATTTCAGAATTGTTTTTTCGACTCTTTAAAGAAAGGTCCATTTTTTCGATTAGAAATGCACGTGCACATTTTTTCTTAGCTTCGATGAATATAGGAAATAAAGTTCTATACAGAACAATATCGCTGCCAGATAGTAAATTATTAAAAATGTATACCTACTAATATCATATAAGTTGCAATGTGTAAACACCGTCACCAGCTAAATAACATTTTGGATCAATTTCATATTTTTTAATTTTAATTTCAACTACATATTAACAATATTTAATATGTAATTATAGTTAATATTACGTTTAATAATTTAAAAAAATGATTACCTATGTTTAATATACTTTGAACTGTATAAAAATAAATAGTCAAATAGGCGGTTAAGTAGATGAATGAAACAATACAACACGAGTCAGTGAGTCACATGTATGATATATGGTACTAAAAAAGCACTTTGGTGCAAAATACTAAGTAGATAGTAAGACTAGTAAGTACATTGTATAATTTAATTTATGATTTTAATTAACAAATAATTAATTTATATTGCCTAACAAATTGAAAAAAAATATTTACCCAACTTTCGGATGGTAAAAAGCGCTTTGGTAAATACCATATATAATATTATACACAATAAACCTAAATAAATTATTTACCTATCTTCCATTTGGTAGTTATCTGCTACACATAATTTCTACAACTATTATTTTATAGGTGTTTTTTGGGAAAGATATTTCTAAGAAATAAATTGTATGCATCAAAAGGGCAGATTTTTTTTTTATTCATCAAATTAAAAATCGTAACTCAATTAAAATACATTACATACCCATACTAAATACAATGGCAATTTATAAGTTGCAAATAAATATAAGCAAATTGCTGGTATTCAATTCACAGAATCAATAACGTTAATCAAAAATAATCGAATTACCCTCTGATCCCATTGATCGTTTTAATTGCTATGGTTGGACGACTGTGTCTTGTATACAGCAGCACTGCAGTAGCAAACCTAAACGAACATTTTAATGACCATCAATTTAAATGTTGACCTTTATACCATTGTACCTACACAACTAATTTATTATTAGTCTACCTTTTTCGTGTAAAAGATGTACTTGTTATTACTTGCAATTGGTAATACTATATTTATATTTCGTATGTATATACAGGCACAGCTGATAGATACAAATATAAAACTCGTGTATTGAAAACTAAACGTATTTAACCTAATCGTTTTGAGCGTAAATACTTAATAAGAATGCTAAACGGACATAAATAAAATATTTTAATATTATTGTATGTCTGCAGTATGCGCAACTCCATTCATTCACGAGTAAAATGCTCGCGGCAATATTGTTGCGTACTATATACGCAGTACGCATTACGCATAAATGTTTAGGTGTGCCCGTTTAGGTATTTAGACTCATTGAAATAGATGAAAGAGGCAGGGCCGTATTTGGACATTTCATGCCCCGGGGCAATATATTTTGGCCACCTCCCCGCCACCCCAAAAAAAGTTATTTATTAAAATGTAAAGTACAATTATTTTATTATAGACAATATGTTGGTCCACAAGAAATTTAGCCAACAGTATATGCTACTCTCGCTTCTATAATATTGATGAATACATAATATATTATATAAATATATATTAATTATACACTTAAAGTATGCGTGTTTTCGTCAAATTTAATATGAATTATGATCATAAAAATGTAACAAAATGTTTAATATAACTTACCTATCAATATTATTATTTCATTTATTAGGTATTTCTTTTTCTCTCATTTGGATAAGCTAT